TCACCCCCGCCTACCCCCCCCGCCGTCTTTCGGGGTGGGGGTATTTGGGGGATTTAAAGCCCCCTTGTTTAAAGTTGGCAAGGGTTGGGGAACCCTACGTTAGATGTTCATTTGAAAATTACAGTTTTTTTTTTTTTAACCACTATCATTCCTTTAAACGTTTCACATCCTTGCCTCCCAGTTTGAGAACTTCTATTTTAGATCCTTTTTTTGCGGTGGCACCCCATTTATGGAGGGCCCTCCCCAGAGAGGCTTGACTGGTGACCACGTTAGCATCATTTCAGTGCCAGGTTGAGACCTTTCTATTCTCCCAGGCTTTTAAACCATACTTTTAATTGTATTTTAATCATATTTTAATTTGTATCATTTTAGATTTTCAGAACCACCTTTGTGGTTGTCGAGTTTGTGTGGCGGTTTTATTTTGTATTTATCTACTGTCTATGTTTTCATTCAAATTGTATTTTTAGAGGGTTTTTTTATTGTAAACTGCATAGCCAGTGGGTGGTTTAATTTAAAATAAATACATAAATTGCAGAAAAGCATATAGGCCCAACCTTCATCACCATAGTAACTAGGGATAAAATCTGGTGGGGCAGTTGTGGGTCAGTGTGTTGAGGGAATCCAATTCTTGCCTTAGCATCTTGCATGAACACACCGCTTACAAACTCAGTTTATAGTTCTGGGGGAACCCAATTCTTTTGTAGGCTGTTTTAAGCTTCGGTCATTGCTAGAAATTTCATTTTTCCTCTGTGCCACCCTCCAGCCCTCTCAATGTATGTACTGATGGTGTTTGAGAGAGAAACAGGAATCACCTGTGCCTGCATCTTCTCCTCTGGGATCACCGTCCTGATCATTACAGCGATCCATGTGCTCGTCCGGGCTTCCAAAGCCACACAACGCAGCCCAGGAGAACTGCCACACACCCTTTACGAGAATGACTCGGCCGAGAGTGGCGAAACACCCGCCATTCCGAATCCTAATGATGCCCCAAATGTGGCCTCTCCTCGGCCACATCTGGAAATCCACCAAGAGGTTCCATACCTGCCCTACGTGGAACAGAAGTCCCACCAGACTACCCCAGCGAGCAGCACCGACGTCACATCCTCGGACAGTGTTGCGCCAACCCTGGAGAAAGAGGGCTGCAGCATCCCCAGAATGCACCGGACACTTTCGGCAGAGTCTGGCCTTCTGCTCAGCCACGGAAAGCCCTGGCATGGGGTGAGGCAGGAAATGAGGAAAGCCCTTTCTCGCAAACCGGCGGGATCAGGCAAAGATTCAACCTTGGTGTAAAATCTCAGAAAGTGGGAACCTCATTATCTCCAGAGATCTTCAACATACAGACGACCCTTGCTTCGAAGAAACATGCACTATCATTTTATTGCTTCATGTGCTATCTCATTCACTCCTAGGAAGAGGCGTGACAACCGGGTTTAGATTCCTTCAAAAGGAGATTAGGGTCAGCCCCACTAGGTAGACCAGACTAGAAAATCAACTCCACAGGAAGACCAGAACTACACTTTATTGAGATAGGCTATAATAACAGGATCTTGCAAGTCTGATTTTGCTGTCCCTCCCCTCCTTGGATCAGGGAGTTTTTTGCCCGAGCCACTTCTGAATATTATCTTGATTCCTAGGACTTAAAGAACATTTCTGACTTCTTTACCTAGGTCAGTGTTTCTCAATCTTAGCAACTTTAAGATGAGTGACTTCAATTCCCAGAACTCCCCTGCCAGCCACACTCATCTTAAAGTTGCCAAGGTTGAGAAACTCTGACCTAGGTAATGGTTCTGTATTTCTGTCAAGGTCATCTCCCTTATTCTCAACAATTAGAATTCACATAATACGGATGGTTTGATTCTCTTCAGGATGTGTACATAGATCTTCCATATTCAAAGGTCCACAGGAGAACTTTTTTCTAGGGAGGAATAATGGGAAGAGGACTATTGCTTTTAAACCCTGATGCAGCACAGATGAATCTAACGGGCTGGTTAAGTGTAGGAAAGTACATTTTACTAGCCAACCCCTTACTCTAATGCATGCTGCAAAGCAGCACTTCTGCTTTCAAGAAAGACTGCTACTGAATATGGAGGCTCCCTTTAATGACCCTATTATTGCCAATACAATTCTATTCCACTAATGTTACCTACCTAGCCCGCTCTCCCTTATTAGATACCACATTTAAAATCTTCCTAGGGGCTACTATAAGAGGCGATTAGCAATATGCCTGGACTCCCTTCAGTCAGCTTAACACCAGTAAGGGAAGGTTGCTTGTACTGAATTGAAGGCTGAGTAATCTTGCTGATCACATTGAAGACAGGCAAACAACATTGGATCAGTTTGTGAATCCATTCCAGTGCCATACAGAAATCTGTAGCAATTAGGGTTCAGGAAAGCCAGAGTCTGTAACGCAAACTCCACCCCAAGCCATGAACGAATGACATCCTTTTAGTGATTCAGTAAGAACCATTATCCACCACCCCATGTTTTCATTTGAACAAGAAATGGAATGTAGGCGTGGCCAGGGGAAAAAGTGGGCCGGCATATGCAAATGACACAGAATTCCAACAGAATTCTCCACTTCACTGCAACAAGAGAGAAAAACCACATCTGTCCAGCCTCATAATAATGGCTGGAGATCATAATTTGGACCCATCCTGGAGAGCTATTGCAAAGATTCCTAAAGGTAAAGCGTCAGCAGAATGTTTTGAAAAACTTCCCTCGTGCAAACAGCAAAAAAACAACAAACCCCCCCCCCCCAGGGAGTGCACAATATAAATGACAAGGACTCTATACCAGACTTAACTTGAATTCCTTGTGTTGTTACTGAAACAGGAGCATCACCTCTATCCCATGACTCCAAATTCTGGGAGCTCACCTGACCTAGATGGACACTTCTTCCTTGGCTAGAAAAAACATTATTTTGGGGGGGGAGGAAGGGGAAGAATTGGAGTGGGAAGGGAGTTGCCATGCATATGGGATTTGGGGTGGGAGAAGTTAGCAAAATTTTTAAATTACATTCATCCAACATCAGGGATGCCTACAGATTCTGCGTATTGCGTTTCCCACTTCAAAATGATAAGATGCCTCTGATTTTCAACCCTTTGGGGTTGTTGAGCGGCTTTGGTGTCTGTGAAAAGTTGATGGGGGGGGGGCTGATGCAGGCCTTGGGTAGCCGGGCTCTGACCAGAGACACAAAGCTGGAAAACTCTCCCTTTATAAAGTATCTGAAGCCCATTGGATACAAATGGGCGAGAGCAGAGTTGTGTGTAAAATGGAATGTCTCTGAGCGTGCTAAGGATCAAACAAGGCAACTATGAGGCTGTTGGTCTCTGCAGCACAAATGATTGTCTGCATTCCCAGTTAACATTTTCGCCATTCCAAAATCTATTATACGCATTTATCTGAGAGGAAAACGAGGCCTTCTTCCAAATAATTCATCTTTAACTGGGAGGATTGTATTAGATAGCTAAGAATAAAGCAGTGGAAGCATTCAAGGGTTTCTCTCTCTCACCTTCCTCGGGTAGGGAAGAGGGGGGGTCATCTTAAGTCTAAGATTGCCTTCCTTTTTGACAAATGCAGGAGATGGCAAAATCTAGCTTGACTGAGAGAGCTGAAGGAAAGGCACTTGCCATATCTTGAAAAGGGAGAGAGGATAAGGTGAAGCAGATGGAACTTGGAGAAGAATGGGCACTCAGTAGGTAAGACAACGCTTGTTTTGGCAAGCAGAAGAAGTCCTGGGTTCAAAATCTGCCATTTCCAAATGCATCTTGCACACCTGAGGCTCTGGAGCAGCATTTCTCAACTTTAGCCATTTTAAGATGGGTGGACTTCAACTCCCAGAATTCCCCAGCCAGCAAGGCTGGCTGGGGAATT